GTAGAGGTTCTAATAGTGGCACAAATCAAGTTACAGAGGTAAGGTGGTTCCATTGCCATCCTTACTCTAACTGAATTCTTTTTTTTTAAAATTTAAATTTGTTATTAATTTCAGTGAAAATTTACAGAGGCTTTGGATTTCCATTCATTCATTGTTGTAGATTTGCTGTTTAAGACAGAATAATACTGCTGGATAGGGTTTCCAAGGCATCAATCTTTGTACACCTGATTTTCTCCTTTGGTGTGATTGGTATGTTCGAATTACAACCTCCTGGTCAGCAACTGCATGCCTTAACCACAGTGCCACTAGCCTTCCTTCCTCAGTTTTACAGCCCCCACCCTCACTTCCCAAGAAGACATATTCTCCTTCCTTGGTTTTGTATGGTGGAATCTTGGCCACTAGAGGATGGCTTTTGCACAGAACACAAACATAATGTTTCCTACAGGTCACATTGCTTGGATCTCAGGTAAGAACTAGGGACAAGGTGAACACCATGGATTCACACTTTCTATCTCACAGGTATGGGCTCTACTCCTGCAGTACGAATCCAAGGGCCAGAAGAAGATGGAGTCCGAGTTGTGTGCGTGACCTCCGGGTGGTTTCCGAAGCCCCAGGTTCAGTGGAGTGCTCTTAGTGGAGAGAAGAAGTTCCTGGTTTTCTCAGAAGTTCAAGCCCAAGACAGTGAAGGACTATTTCACATAGAGACCTCATTAGTGGTGAGGGATAGCATTGTGGGGAATGTGACTTGCTCTGTCTTCAACCCCATCTTGGAACAAGAGAAGGCAAACAGCATTTTCATTCCAGGTAAGCATGTTTCTGATCTCAGCAGGGACTGATAGAGGGAAATGAAGTACCTTGGTCATGTCCAGCAAAAGATGTACCCTGATGTAATCATTGACTGGGCCTCAGAGCCCTTTTTTCCACAGACCTCTCCCTGGAAAATAGCTTTTGTTGTGAGCATGAGCATGCTGGGACTTCTCATCTTAGGCACTATCTATTTTATCATAAGAGAACATTCAGCAAAGTTGAAGGAGCTAAAGGAATGCAAGAATTTTGAGCAGTCTAAGAAGGAGGACATGCAGTTAAAGGATGAAGCACTGAAAGCCAAAGGTAAGGCAGAACTGGTGCAGGAAGAAAAGCTTACAACAGGGCCCTATCTGGCTGCTGTGGCCTCTAGGAAGATCCAGGAGTCCTTCCCAGAGCAGGAGGCTCTGGGGATCTAGATGGCACAGATAGGATCGTGGGTGGCTCTAATTAGTCTGTAATGATACATTTCCCCAGAGGACAGAGAGAGCTCCTTTGTGAGTTCTCTAGGCACATAGTCTTTCCTTTCCTTAGGGATCTTAGTTCATATCTTTTTCCTATCCCTTTCAGATGAACTGCAGATACAGCTTGGTAAGTTTACCTCTTTCTCCTGGACTTTTTTTTTTCTAAAAAAAAATAATTATGATTTGATTGAAATTCTACAAACAAACAATTGGTTTCTCATTCAACCACCAAGACACATTTTGTTTTGTAACATGAATTACGATGTTAGATATTATATTTTGCCCACTCATCTCTTGTAATTCTCATTTCTGTTAATTCTTCTACCTTACTCCTTTCTGCTTCTTGGATTTTATCCCTGAGCAAAGGTGGTTCTCTTAACCCTATATTGGAGTGGGCATTGTAAGGTCACTGAGGAACGACAGAACCCAGTTCAGGCGAGGAAAGAAAGTTTATTGAGGAGAAACTGCTGGGCTGAAGTGGAGTTAAGCAACAACTTAAAATTAGAGTGCAGTCTTATATTGTATTACGAAGAAATTGTGGAGGGGCATTATGCAGGCAGTTGCTTGTTACATGATAAGGAAGCAGTTCTGGAGTTGTAGATAGTTATTCTTGGGAAAGGGAGGAGGAATAGTTTTACAGCCCTACCAGAGATAAGCAGAGTTACAGCTGCTGCTTGCTGTGCTTTGATCATTTCTGTGACTATTCTGTCAAAGGGATGAAGAACAGCCCTAACAAGCTCCTCCCTGATGTTACTGGTCACCTTATATAGAAAGGAGAGTTGTGGGGTAAGTTTTGTTTCATAGATGAAGAATGACTAACTGCCACTGTTTGGGAATTCCACCAGTAGGGCTATTTGGCCTGATTTTTAATATTTTTTTCTTTTCTTCCACCTTTCCACCTTTCTTCACTTCATTTCATGTAGGAACTTTTACTGTGATCTCTTTTAGAGCTCTCACCAAGCATAGTTAAGCATAATCTTGGTCCCAACACTGTGGTCTAAAGTCTACAGAACCAGTAAATCGTTTGCTTGAGGTTTTCAGTTATGATTAAGAAACTTAGAAAACATTGCCCCCTGTTAACTCTGCTATATATGTGGATATATTTACAGTAGATAATCTAAGTGGATGTTTTGCTTACTAGCTCACCTCATTTCCTGTATGTTCCCTTTCAGATTGGAGGAAGAAAGTTTACCAGGCTGGTGAGTGGATTCACTAGCTGTCACTGAATCTCCTACCCTAGCTATGCTCAAGTTTCTCCCTCTCCTTGTAACTCTCTGGCATAGACATTAAGACCCTAGTCCCTGGGTGTAAAGTGGAAGGTGGAAGGAAAGAGTCCTTCTCCCATGGTTTGTTAATGTCTGGGTATCTACTTCCTGGTCAGTGCTGGAAACCTGTGTTCAGTGACTCCTGGAATGTTTCAGGTATCCTGGGTCGTCTCAATCCAGCCACACCTGGGCTAGGTACCTTAGTGCATGATTTCTAGTCTTTAGTGCTTCCAGCTATCATTCGGTACCTGCAAGTTAAAAGAAAGATGCTTAGGTATTTAACTTATTTAACCATAAAAATCAACGTGGTCTTAGATGAGTGACTTCTGGACCTCTTGCTAAGCTTCCTCTCTGGAAGTTATAGTACTCTGTAGCTCCTGAAAGTGCTGTTGGGAAAGTGATTGGGAAGAGGGGACAATAGGAGAAACATGAGAACTGAGAGTTCACCAGAATCGAAATGTTTTTATTTCTAGAAACCCTCTACCTCCCAAGAAAACAACCCACAAACTGGTCTTTTTCCCCTGGAGCCAGCCTTATATCTTTAACTTTCTTTATTTCCCTTTTTTCTTAATTTTCCAGATATATATTTGTCAGAAACAGATAAGTTAAAACAATGATTTCTTAAAACTATAGAATAATTTAGGGAGCTCTGGTAGTCTAGTGGTAAGGAACTACACTGTCAATCCAAAGGCATGTGGTTCAAATCCATGAGCTGTTCTTTAGAATAAAGATGGCGAATCTCTTCCCATGCTGTTTATTGCCTCTGAAAACTGATTCTGATTCAACAGAACGCAGCAACAACAACAACATCATCATCCATAATTAATAATTTAGGGATATCTGGTGGCCTAATAGATAGGAATTACAATGCCAACCCAAAGGCAGGTGGTGTGAATCCTCCTTCATAGGAAAACAGACAATCTCCTGCCTCTGAAAACCTGCTGGAGGGCCGACTATGAATCAATTCCACCTTGACAGGCACATGACAACAATAGGAGGATTTATATTTCATTCCCTGAAATACCATCACATGCATGTTTTAAATTTTAGTGGAATTCAGCCCAAACTGGAATTTTTAAGATTATTGAAGCACAGAAAATGCACATGACTTGCCCAGAGTACCACAGTTGGAGCAGGACAGTGTGGAACTTGAACACTAATCTTAGCTTCCTCACTGGTGGTCATGGGAAGCCCCACACTTCTTCACCATCTTTGCACGCTGTATATGTTCATCTCTTTTCCAGGATCTATCTTGCTTGAATAGGTACTTCCATAGAACAGAGAGAGATTGGTGACCAGTTGATTTAAACTGATTTTGGCTTCAATCTCACTAAGGGTATGCTCTCTTTCAGCCTGGAGAAAGGCGCAGCTGTATGCAGGTAAGTGACTGTAACACTTCTGTGACCTTGCCCCTCTTAATTCTAGAGGTGTCTGTCTCACCTGGTTCTTCCTCTTTCAGAGAGTCTCAGTTGGGGATAGAACTAATATTCCTATCCTCTGTCTCTTCAAAGCCCATGTTTTTTTTTTAAATAATTTTTTATTTTTAATTTTTTTTACAGAGGTTTTGGATTTCCATTCATTCATTGCCGCAATTTTCTTCCTTCCCACCCCTCCCCACCAGCTTGCTTCCCCCTCCGAAGAGAGAAAAAAGGGGAAAAAAAATTCCTTCATTAATATACAATTCCCACGTCCCTTCCCCCACCCCCCACCCCGAGTACACTTCTCTATGCAACCTTAATTCTGGATTCCTGTGCTAACCATAATACTCAATCATAAACCACTTCTAATCTGTTCTTTCCCTCATCTGTTTCAATACAATATACATCATTTATCAAGATATTTCTCTCATACCCCCACCCTGTTGTCAGACCCATTCTACAACAGTGGCACCATGCAGCATTTGTCCCTTTGTGACTGAGATATTTCACTCAGCATAATGTCCTCCAGGGTCACCCACTTTGAATAATATTGCATGAGTTCCTTGTTTTTCAATGCTGCATAGTATTCCATTGTGTGGATGTACCACAGCTTCTCTATCCATTCGTTTGTTGATGGGCCCTTAGGCTGCTTCCAACTCTTTGCTATTGTAAACAAAGCTGCAATAAACATGGGTGTGCATATATCTGCTTGGATGGCAGACATGGTCTCCCTGGGGTATATTCCCAGTAATGGGATTGCTGGGTTAAAAGGTATCTCTATTTGCAATTTTTTGAGAAAGCGCCACACTGCCTTCCACAATGGTTGCACCCAAAGCCCATGTTTTAAGACTGTAGCAACTCCTGGATATACGCATCTCTCTCTTGTTGGGGTTCTTTCTTGACAACGGACAACGAACAACTATTGGGATTAGGTATAATTTCTAAAAAAATGTATTTTCTGGATATTTCAAGATAATTCTATCAGTGATGATGTAAAGTTGTTTTCAGAAGGGATAGGAGCATTTTAATGACTGTAGATATAACATTTCTAGTCTTAAGAAGATTTCAGACTCTGAATTTGCCTGCTAAGGAATTAGATTTTCTTCAGGGCATCTTTAGTTCAGGTCTCTCTGGCCCTGAAAATCTAATCTTTTTGATACAAGCTTTTCTTTTCCTTTCTTCCTGGTTTAGTTAATATTGATCTTCTCTCTGCTTCGTCATGATCCAACTCCCTTCCCAATTTGAATTTCTTCATTTAAACTTTCTTGGTTGCTGAAGAAATAGTGACTTTAGAATTGTTGTTGTTGTTGTTACATGCTGTCAAGTCGCTTGCGACTCATAGCGACCCTATGTACAACAGCCCTAAATTCTGCTCTGTCCTGTGCCAATCACACTGTCTCTGACAC